TTTAGCGTCACCAGTCTGATGTTGATGTTGCTAGATGATTATCCTGTTACTCCAGATCTGCCTAAACCCAGGTCAGCTTACATGCTAAACAATCACACTTTGCAATTTGCATCTAACTACACAAGCTCCTCTACTCCACTCTTCCAACTGGTTAACAGCCACAGACGCTAAAATGTCGACTCGCCGGACCAATCGCAACGCAGCTGCCCTCGCAGTGAATGCGAACGCTCCAACTGACCAAGGTGTCGCTCTTCCACCTAACATGGCTCTGCAAGACGATCCTGCAGTGCCGCAGGTGCCTGCTCCACAAGCCAATGTTGGAGGTGCGCCCGAGCCGAGCGATGAGTCGAACCCTGCGCACATAGGTGCAGGAGGAGGTGAAGAAGGAGCGGAGAAGCGAACAGACAAGATCGTCCTGAGGAACGTGAAATCAGATACTTTCTCCGGTGCAGGTTCCCCTGGAGCCTACGACTCTGATGTTCAAGACTGGTGGGAGCTGTTCGCAGACCAAGACGAAGACGCTCAGATATTGGCTGGTTAAAAATGGTCAGAGAATGCCAAGAAGGCAGCGCTTTCTATCTTTCTTACGGATTCAGCGCGCACCTGGCTTAAAACTTACCGTGCCGCCTTTCCGAGCGCTACATTTGAGGAAGCGGGAAACGCTCTTGAGGCCAAGTTCCGTCCGAACTTGACGGATCAAGAGATATCAGCCCGAATTTACTCGGAGGACAAACGCGCTTCGGAAACGTATCAAGCGTATGCCGACAGACTGGTGCAAATGGCGGGTGGTCTTACAGGTGGAGTGACCCAATCCTCCAATGCACACCATGTGCTAGGTACATTTCTGCGATTGACATGGCCACAGAGGAAAGACATCGTAGAAGCACATATTCGTGGGAAGATGGGTACGCCCACGGAGGTTTTGAATGATGCGGTTCGGTTCCTGAGTGAGCTGTCACAATCAGACGGGCGGCTGGACGATTACAAGCGACGGAAACTAACGGACGGCTCACGCGCTCTGAAATGGGACGCTTATGCAAACCCGGCTGAGGCATCGTTTAAGGGTCCAAGGCTTCACTCCAAGGCTCCTCGAGCTAAATCTAACGTGGCCATCGTCGAGCGCAAACGCAAACCCACTAAAGCACTTCGTCGTGGAGGCGTGGTCTGCTTCATCTGCTGCGAAGAAGGGCATACTGCCAAGTATCATCGTCAACACCTCAGTGAAGACAAGACTGAAACAGAGAGCTCACGAGCTCAAGGCAACGTGGCCAAAGCCGAAGATGCTGTGGGTGACTCCGCTGAGGATTCGGATGAGGACTCGGCTTGAAGGTTGGGCGTCAGGTGCGGCCCGATCTTATTCGACTCGGGCGCGTCACATCATCTGACGAGCCAACTAAATGGTTTCGAAGTGACTGATAAAAATGTGGCACTGGCTATTCAAGTAGCAGACGGTAGGACCGTAGTCGCTTGAGCAAGAGGGCGGCTACGCATCAAGGCCATCGTTCTAGACAGTACTGGAAGCGAGATCGAGAACACATTCGTGGTGAATGGCGTCTAATTTGTACCAGAACTACCTCATGCTGCTATCTGTGTCTGCTCTATGGCGCGATGGACACACAGTGAGTTTTGGGCCCTTCAGCTGCACTTTATTTTCAGGACGACGGAACCGGACATGTTGTATCGCACGCCTCAAAGGCGGTGTATATTCAGTTGTGACTACCGATTCCGGAGGCATTAATACGCGCACAGCGCACGTTTTGAACGCAGCGGCACTTGGAAGGACGCTCGAGATGTGGCACAGACGTTTAGGCCACGTGAATTATAAGACTCTAAAGGGAATGGCCGGAAAGGGCTCAGCTCGCGGACTACGTGTTATTCCTAGGGCGAAGCCTGCAATGTGCACTATGTGTGCGTTAACCAAGGCATCCAGACAGACAGTACCGAAGACAAGGTCAAGCCCAGACAACGTAGCGGACGGCATTTGCTACGTCGTTCTCGCTGGACCGATAGCCGCCTCTCTAATGGGTACAGGAACTTAATGGTGGCAGTCTGGCGGGACTTCGTGCAAACGTACGCGATGAAGCGAAAAAATGAGGCCACTGGAATGGTTAAACGATTCCTTGCTATGCTTGAGAGACAAGCTGAAGTTCCGGCCACATTCCTGAAGGTACTACGAACCGATGGTGGAACTGAATTCATCAACAAAGATTTCAGGAAGCTTGCCCTAGCTCAAGGCATTTGTTACAGCATACGACTCCCTACACCTCATTTCAAAACGGTGTCGATGAGAGAAGCATTCGCACAGTAACTGAGACTGCGGCAACAATGCTTGTGGACTAGGGATTACCCCACAAGTTGTGGGAATACGCCCTGCAGCATGCTACATACATTCGCAATAGGATTCCTCGCCGCGGTGCAAAAGTTACTCCATACAAAAGCGTCTTCGGACAGCGTCCTGATGTTGGACATCTCCCGATATTCGGCCAAGCTGTCGTCGCTAGAGTTCCTGATCAGCTTCGACGCAAGAAGAGACGTTTTCTCGATACCAGGGGACAATTAGGAGCTTTTATCGGGTGTGCAGAAGACATTAAAGGATTCTATGACTATACGAAGGGCCCAAAAAGGTCGATATTCATTTTCAGAGACGTCAATGTGATCGACAGAATGCTTTTTGAAGTGGACCTATCGGCGGAAGAAAACGACGAGCTCGATGACGCAGATTCGGACGACGGAACAGATGAGGAGCAGCAAGCTCAGGATGACCGCGAAGGCGCATTCCCATCAGAGCTGGCAGCAGTTCGGCGCTCGCAGCGAATTGCACGACGCACAAAAATTGAAGCAGAAGCCCATGCAGTTTTAGGCGAAGTCATCAAAGAACCACTAAATCTCGCGGAAGCGAAGCGTTCGCCGCAGTGGAAACAGTGGGAGAAAGCCATCGATGCTGAAGTGAAGTCACTGTTCGACAACGGGACTTTCGAATGGGTTACACCTCCGACAGGCGTCCGTGTACCCGACCACACCCTCCAGTTTTGCCTAAAGACAGGAACGGACGGAAAAGTTGAACGATTCAAGGCAAGATTGTGTGGCCGTGGTGATAAGCAAGAGTGGCTTCTTCATTTCATCGACACATATGCTCCAGTCGCAGGTCTCGTCACAGTTCGAGTTTTTTTTTGTGATCGTGGTGTACTTTAAAGTGTGCACACGCCAAGGTTATGTGCCCGCCGCTTACGTAAAAGCAATACTACCAGAAGAAATCTACATGAAACCCGTGTCTGGTTACGCTGATACAACTGAGCAGGGAAAGGTGTGGTGTAATGGGTCCAACTCCAATTACATAAGTAGGTAGATATTTCTTTAGTTATTACATAAGTAGGTAAAGTGGCACACGGGTAGCGTGTGCCAAAGTGTCATCATCTGATTGGTTGATAGTGAGGAGCCAGACTCACTTATTGACCAATCAGATATAGACATGTGTTTGAGTGGTTCACACGAGGCCAGGGGTAGCCGCCCTGGTCCTAACTAAATCAGAGTTGAATTTGACACAAACCTAAGACTTGGTTTTATTATTGCGAGCTTCCTCCGCACTATAGTGTAAGCTAGTAACGGTATCTCTTACCCCGTTACACCTGGTAGCACTTAGTAGTCCTTCCAACGACCAAGTCTACGATGAGCCAAGTCCAGATCTCCGGGGTGACCCTGGAGCATGCTGCATTCCCCCATCTCACTCGCGTGGAGTGGGAAGCGCTTCACCGCCTCGTGGCGGTGTCCGGAGACGCTGTCGTCGCATCGCTGCTGAGCTCAGCGACGCCCGACCAGCAACGTCTTGCAGCACAAGAGTTCATGGAACGCGAGCTCGCCGATGCGAATCGGCGGGTGTCAACTCCCTCGCGTCCATCCCAGAATGACGTCGTCAAGATGGAGACGTCTACGTATTCTGGCGCCGGTGAAAACCGGCTTCCGCTAAACCGGTGGTTCCGCGAGATCGACATCGCTATCGCCTCGCGACGCATCGAGGCGTCATCGGCCAAGATGAACTTCCTCCTCTCCCGGTTAACCGGGAAGGTCAAAGAATGGGCCCTCGGGAAGCTGGTTGTCGACCCCGAGGCTTTCCCGACTCTGGAAACTCTCCAGAGCGACTTGCGCCTCGCGTTCGAGCCCCCGCAAGATGAGTCTCGCGTTCGCGCAGAGTTCTTCGCTCTGCGGCAAGGGCAGATGTCCATGCGTGATTACGTCCAGAAGACGCGACATCTGGCGTCATGCATCGTGACCAAGCCAATCGACATGGCCTCGCAAGTCCACGTATTTGTGTTCGGCATGCGCGAGGATATGACCCGCTACTGCCTCACCAGAGCTGAGCCCTCCTCTCTCGAGGAGGCGTTTGCACTCGCGCTTCGCGAGGATTACATGGTCGCTGCATCGTACGCCGCAGCCATACCCGTGGAAGCCCGAGAGTCTACCCCCGGGCCCATGGAGATCGACGCCATCAACGCGTCGAGCGATCGACGTCGCGGGTCCTACCGCGGCAGCGCTGGGTGAAGCAATCGTTCCCTCATTTGCTTTCGTTGTGGGAAGAAGGGTCACCGCGCGGCGAAATGCCGCGCGCCAGCTCCCGTCGTCTCTCACGTCGACGCGGGACACTCCTCGGTCGCTCATTCAAAAAACGACCAGGACCAATAGGTGCGGGGCGCCCTACCGGCTTTAACGAAGGACCGGGCCCTCCGGTGGCAGCCCGACCTTCGAGCCCTCCCGTGCTCCAAGCACACACCAATGTCACCACTACGCCGGGCGACTCGAGACTGATCATTGTCAGCCTCCACGTCACCGGTGCCCGGCGACCACTGCGCGCGCTCCTTGACTCAGGAGCGACCAACAACTTCTTTCGCGCGTCGTGTTTGTCGATACTACCCAAGAACATTCGCGTCCGGAATGGTCCGGGCGAGATCCAAGTCAAACTCGCAGATGGTAAGGCTCGCCGCGTTGCGCGGCGCGACGTGTCCTTGTCGTACACGTTCGACGGCTTCCGTAGCAAGGACGACTTTTTGGTGATCGAAATGAGCTACGCGTTTGACTGCATCCTGGGCATCCCTTGGCTTGCGCGATATCAGCCAGAGATTGACTGGCTGGCCCAATCAGTCAAGCGTCGACGTGGATTCGACGTGAGCGAGGTCTTCACACACCTCTTGGTGGCGCCAAGAGACTGGCCCCACATCACAGTCGTAGACAAAACAGCAACGACACAGGCAGTGCACAGAGCGAGCGATGGTCCTCTCTGCATGGCTTGTGCTACGTTGTTGGACGAAGAGCCCTCGCGGTTTCGCGAGGTAGATGATGAAGTAGTTGAGCAGAGACTCCCACAGTACAAGATGGTGGTCGAGCAGGGGCTCCCACAACACGACGGCGGTCGAGCAGAGGTTCCCGCCGAACGATTTGGCGGTCGAGCAGATTGGACTCCCGTCAAACAATGCCGCGGTTAAGCAGGGGCTCCCGCGTGTTCCCGGCCCGGTCGAGTACGGTCACCCCGCGCCTAGAGGAGGGTGATGAATCGTCGAGTAGCAGTGAATCAGACTCAAGCGTAAGTTTGAGAAATTCGAAGAAGAAGTCGAAGAGACGACGCCTGAAACCTCGTCGAGACTCCACGACCAACGATAGCCCGCCGATGGAATCGGTCATCGCGCTGGAGTACGTGGAAGGAGGCCCGAATCGGTCGCGCACTATCGCAATCGCGAGTCCGCCGCGCGAAGCGGCGGCGATCACACGCCTTCCAGGCCTGTCCTGGAAGCACTTTCTTCGGGATCTCAAGGCTGGAGACGTCGAGCAAGTATGTTTGGTCACCGAGGCAGTCTCGGTGGATGAGTCAGCAAATGCGGTCGCAACGGACAGTGAACGCTCACGTCCGCTAGGTGCTGAGATTAAGTCTGCTAGAGAGGAACGATTCCAAACGCAGTCTTGGGAGGCCTTGCGGGAGTCAGCGAATCCCGTATACGACACCGCCTGCGAATACGCCGACGTCTTTCCGGATGAGATCCCCGCCGAGCTACCGGCGGATCGTGGGGTTCAGCATGAGATCGACCTCGCGCCAGGTACGAAGTACTGCGTCACCAGACAATGGCCACTTCCTCGTGATCAAGTGAAAGCGATCGATGACTTCTTCGAGGGCCGCCGAAAGGCGGATCACGTGCGTGAGAGTACCTCTCCCCATTCCAGTCCAACGTTCTGTGTGAAGAAAGCTACAGGGGGGATGGCGTATCGCTCACGCATTCAACAAGTTGAATGATGCCACCATCCCCGCGCAGACTCCGATCCCTCGGAAGGACATGGTACTGGACTCCATGGCTGGCAGCGTCATCTACAGCGCCATCGACCTGACCGATGGATTCTATCAGATCCTGATGAGAACATCTGATGTGCCTCTCACCGCCGTAAGTACACCGAGCGGGAGTGGCTCGTGATGCCACAGGGCCTCAAGAACGCGCCTGCCACCTTCAATCGCATGGTCTCCCATGTGCTTCGCCCGCTTCGAGACTTCGCGCCGAGTTACTTCGACGACATCTTCGTGCACAGCCGCGCTGAGGGCAACCTCAGTGCCGTGGACGTACATCTAAAACACCTGAGACAAGTCTTCCAGGTGATGCGAGAGAACAAGCTCTACGCAAACCTGAAGAAATGTGTCTTCTGCGCACCGGAGATTCCGGTGTTGGGATGCTACGTGAGCAAGAACGGTGTGCGCGCGGATCCCGAGAAGGTATTGTCTATCTGTGTTCGGCCAACGCCGACAAGCCCCACTGAGCTGCGTCAGTGGCTTGGCATGGCCAATTACTTGCACAAGTACACGAAGAATTACGCGGGGTTGATACAGCCGCTGTCCTCGCTGCTGAAGAAGGACGTGATCTGGGAGTGGAAATCGGACCACCAAGCTGCATTCGACTCGGTGAAGAAGAGCTTGGCGTCTGCGCCGATACTGAAGCTTGCTGATGACTCAAAGCCATTCCACGTCGTCTGCGACGCGAGCGATTTTGCCATCGGCTGTGCGCTGATGCAGTTCGATGATGACGAACACGAACGCGTTATCAGCTATCAGTCGCGCCAACTGAAGCCAGCCGAGAAGAATTATTCAGTCCACGACAAGGAGCTCCTGGCAATGCGGTACGCTCTGATCAAATTCAGAGTGTACCTGCTCGGTGAACAGTCATTTGCGGTTTACACTGATCACGCATCGCTGCGGACAGCGATGAAGAGCCCTCACTTGTTGCAACGGATGGCCCGTTGACTGTCATTCTTCTCCGAGTACAACTTCGTTGTTCACTACAAGCCGGGCAAGAATAACATTCTCGCCGACGCGCTGTCTCGGCGTCCGGACTACGATCCCCGTAAAGCGCTAGGACATCAGCTCGCTGATGAGGACGACGA